AAAAAAAAAAAAAAAAAAACGTTTATCCAAATCAAATCATAACTGACGATCAAATAAATTGGCTGCCTGTACCGTGTATGCACCGTTGCTTATTTCATCTATAAAGTTGTTTACATTAGCAAACTTAATTAATAATGTAATTATGTAATTCCTAGTCGTTCATTTCATATCATCGTTTTGTCAGTCTTCATACTCTGTAACTAAGACAAGATAAAACAAATTTCTCTAATTTCCAGTTCTAGACAGAATTATTCCATTTGAATTGTCATTTGTCCCCTGTTATTGTTCCTCTAAACAATTCGACCTTTCTAGAGTTAATTCTGTGAAGCAATCAAGTCGTTACATTACCCACGCCTGCTTTGGAAAGATAAATGATTTCCTAGAAACCGCAGCTTTACCAAGTATTTGACTTTTGTGAAAGGAATTACATAAACCTTTCCAAAGCTGCAAATGACAGACGTAGAATGAGAGATGTAATATATTGTCCATAAACCGTTATCTGGAATTGACCACGCTTTCCTGGTCGTTTTGTATTGGATGGGGCCTACTAGATCGCTCGGTTAACCAACCCAGCATACACAAAACGTTATTAGAACGTTACTAAAACGTTACCAGTACGTTATGGTAACGTTCTAATAACGTTCTCTGTTTGCTGGAAAGTTTTGTATTTTAAGTTTATATTTTGAGAATTTGCTTCTTTTATCAGTTCCCTGTACGTCTCGACTGTTGTCTGCCTATGTACATGTTGGTATGCTTGTTGTTTGTCTGTTGGCGCTTTTGTTTCTTTGGCTATGTATGCACCCCCCACCCCCTCTGTGTGTCTTAAACCCATTTGCTCAGGTGTGAATAATCTAATTACTTCGATCTCTTACTAAAATTATACATTCGATATCATGATAATATCCAGGACAATTACAAAACGGTCTGTTTTCTAGCACAAATGTAATCAGAATAAACGGTTTTAGCATGTAACGCAGTGAATCTTATTAAGGTGGCAGCAGATGGTGTGAAATACTGGAGGTATATAAGTCATCTGTTTCTGGTAATATTTGATCTATCGGAGTATTACACTTTTCCATGTTAGCAGTAGTAAGGCTACTATACTAGTACAGAGCCCCGTCCCCCCCCCCCCCCCCCCC